GTCAGTCTTATTTAAATCTGTAACAATGGCACAAGTCTATATTGCAGGATACATCAGCAGATACGATGGAGATGAAAAAGATACAAATTTCTATTTTGAGGAATTTGCAGGTTTACAAAAGAACTTAACAGAGGTGGATTAAAATTACCTGGAGACAATATATGTCAATGGGTTATTTATTGCAATATATTTTTCCATCATATCGTGTCCTTAATTTGTCGGATAAGTCAAATAAATATAACAATGATAATAGCAAAATTGTATGGCTTTGAAAACATAGATAGGTAAAATGGAAAAATATTATCATTATTATCAAACACATTGTTTAACAAATATAGCAAGCTTTACACAGCTCGATCAACAAAATAACCTGCTTTAAAAGTTTTTAAGTTGTCGCAAAAATGATTCATCTACAATAACTTAGAAATAGAAATGTATGTAAAATATATGCATTTTAAAGTTTGCTCGATTAAAAAGAAAAAATTATTTACATTGTTAAAGAAAAGATAATTTACATCAGTGGCGGAACTTCAAAATTTGGGCCCCCCCCCCCGCAAAAGAATGTTTTTTTTGCGGAAAAGAGTTTTATAGTATAAATATTATTGAGAGTATAACTTTTTTTATATGAGGGCCCCCTATAGCTGGTAGGCCCCCCCGCAACGCAGGGTCCTGCGTCCAGTAGTTCCGCCACTAATTTACATTGTTAAAGAAAATTTTTTTTTTTTTTATAGTATTCTTTTAAAAAATCTTAATAAAGGTGAAAAATTTTATATTTTAAAGTTTGATGAAATAAAAACTACAATTTTCTTGAAAGTTTTTTTAAAAAACAACTACTTTTAGTCAACAAGTATTTTGTCATTTTAATTTTATTCTAATTTGTTCACAAAAAATTTGATTTTTTGACGAGATAAAAAAAATAACTACATAATTTTTACTACTTAAAGTTTCATGCGTTTAGCAATCATCAGGTAAAACTACATTGGTTTTTACGTTAAAAAATATACTATATAATAACATCGTGACGTTCAAAAACAATTATAAAATGTTACTGTTTGCAAGCGTGGTTTGTTTTTTTAATCTTTAGACTCGTGGTTGTCAAGCTAGAACTAGTTTTCATGACGGCACTTAGATACTATTATTTTTTTTTTTTATTTAATAATTCTTGCGTACCTTTGTATGATATTATGCAAAGTTTTTCATTAATACAAAGCAAGCATTTTTTTTTGTTACATTGCTGTATGCGGGGACTGGTTTAATTATTGACCAGGTTAATTTGGGTGTTATTTTTAAGTTTTCTTTTATCTGCCATATATACTTTGAAAGAGTGGTTGAATTTTTCATCTTTTTGTTTGTAAATGAGTGTTTGTGGTTAGCCCACTTTTTCTTCCATTCACTTTCTGCTAGGCCAATATATACTTTTTCTGGAGTGTTAAGGGGGGGGGGGGGAATAATATACATTTATAAATAGCGTTTGAGACTCTAAATTTTCCTATTATAGGGCAGTTTTCTTTATTTATGCAATTGCAGGGTGGGTATTATTTTGGTATTTTTGATTTGATATTTTTGTTGAGGCTTTTTATAATTCTTTCGATATTTTTGGTGCAGCTGTAACTCATTTCGATGGTGTTTCGATTGAATAGCTTACTTAGGGGGTGGGATGATGGAAAATGTTTCTCGATTAAGTTTAGGAAGATATGTCCGACATTGGTAGAAACGCTTTAACTATACGGGGGGTTGAACCATATTATATTTCTTTTTCTTTTCTTCTTTTCTCTTTTTTGGGGATTATACTAAAAATTAAAATCAGTAAAGCCATTCTTCTTAATTAATTTTTGTATTCTGGTATAGATAAATTAAATGTTTTTTCATTTTAGGAATTTTGTGATAATCTGTCGTTGATAGAGATGGGAATTTGCTTTATTATTTGCGGAGGATGGTTGGAGTCAGTGTGGATGTAACGTAGATATTCATTTGGTTTTTTGAATAGTTGGTAGGAGTTTTTTTCTAAGTTAAAAGAGACATCTAAGAAGTTGACTGCGGGTAGGTTTGTTTGGATCTCTATTTCAAAACCGATCATTTTTATCACTTTAATTACGTTTTTTCGTAGGCTATCAATTTGTGATCCAGTTTTTTACGAAGTACCATCAAACCATCGTCACGATATAGTCCAACGTCTTCTTTATTTATTATTTTAGATAGTGAATCTAATATATAAAGGCCCACCAGTTAACAAACTTCTGCACCGTCAAAACAACCCATTGTGACAATGCCCAGCCCATTTCTAAATAGTTTTGAAAAAACTTTTATGATAGCAACAGCGGAATTATCATTTTCCAGTCTGCATTGACTCAATCATAATTAAACATTACACGGAAAAAAAAAGCCATTAAAAAGTTTAAGATACTATCGCATACTAACTATTTTTTAAATGAATATATATATTTTTTTTTTATGTTGATTTAGGTGCCCCAAGAAGTCCTTACGGTCTTATCACAGAGCACCGCGGAAGAGCATTTAATAGGAAGTTCACGCCTCCTTCCTAACCGATGTCGCAAAACTTGCCCAGAGGTGGTTTGAACCGCGGATCTTACGTTCCTGAGGCAAGTGCGCTACCACTGCGCCACGGCTGCTTAAATATGTGCTGCTTAAATATGAGCTGGTAAAAGATGAGAAGTCACTTTAAAAAGATGATTAATCACGTTGAGTGTGATAAATATTGAATAAATAGACCATTTTCATTTATTTTGCTGTTTAATACGAATTTGAGGAACTTTTTCCTTTTTAACATATGTTTACAGCCCCCCCCCCCCATTTTATATATAAATATAACTTACTTATATATGTGACATGTGGCAATATTTTCGTTAGACAATAAACTTTTTTAAGTAAAAAGTATTTGTACTTTTGATGAGACTACCTGTATTGTGTACTATTCATTTTTGACAAAATCAAATTTTTTTACTTATCGTTATGATTCAAGTCTGTGAGGAATATTTTTTAGCATCAAATTTGGATTTCGTTTTGTTATTGCTGTGGATAATTAATGTTACTATTTGCATTAATCAATATATTTAGAAGCTTTTGGTTTTTACTTAAGATTAGTACATGTACTATTTGCAAACTTTCGTGAATGTGACAACAGAATATATGAATTGATTGAAAAAAAGTTGAACATTTTGCAACTTTAAATTTCAAAATTCTCAAGTATGTATCTCTGCACTTGTTATAGTTTGTTGAAATTTGTACATAGTTTATTTATATTCTTGATAACAAAAGTGCTCATTGCTTATTTTATTATATATTATTTTATGTGTCAAGTGTTTTCTTTTAATGATAAAAATATTATATTAGTATTGTTTGTAATAACACATTCCATAATAAATAATTTAAATAAATGACTTTGATAATATAAATGACATGATAAAAATGCTTTCGAGGATTGTCATGTACGATGTTTTTTTGATTTCTTTTCATATTTTATTTGCATTATATTTTCTGAAATTTTTTTGGTATTTTGTATTGCTCTATATTTTAACATTTCTCAAATTTATTTTTTTTTTGCTTTTCAAATATAAGAAAATGATCAATTGTAAATATACTTGATGCCTATAATTACTATTTTTAATAAAATTTAATACTACATTTAGCATATAATTTATTTCTATGAGAACCATGAATAAATTTTATCATATTGTTAAATTTATTAGTGAAAAAAATTCAGTGGCTGTTGTTCCCATACAATAAGAGCTAACACATTAACCCATTAGCAAATGTGAAGATTCCTTAGATAATTGGATTATGATATATGTATTATGTTTAACTCTGGTTAGTTATTTTATGTAAACTTTTACAAATATATATTTTTTCTATAGTATATAATTTTTTGTTTGTTTGTTTATAATTATATATAGTTTAATAGTATATAATTTTTTTTGTTTGTTTGTTATTTTAAAGTATTTTGTTATTTTATACTATTTTGGTTTTTTTAGTGACATATATGTGAAAAACTAAGAGAAAAATTACCTATGGAAAAAAGTGGTAGTGGTGTAGTGATAGAGCGCTGGCATTATAAGCGAGAGCTTCCAAGTTCGATCCCCACTACGTCCCTTGTAGTACCGCTCTCAACTTGTTTCAACTCGCAGCGGTCTTGTTTGTCAAGAATTGTGTTTCAGAGTTGAGAGAGGTTATAACCACAATAAAATAGCCTCCTTGCTCTTGGAGAGGTGAATTAATAATAATAATAAAAAAAAAGTTTTTTCAGACTTTTTTTCAAATAACGAAGGTAAAGGTATCTGATAAACTCAGAAGAAAACAGATTTTAGGTATGAAAACAAAAGAAATAAATTGAAAAAAACAGATTACCAGATAATGATCATGATCATGATGATTGTGATAATGATCATCATTATATAATTATGATGGTTATATGTAATTTAGATCATCATCATATGATGATGTTGGTTTTCTTTCATTATTTTATAGAAATGTGTATTATCACAAATTTGTATATTTAAGTCCAGATGACATTTCACAGTTACTGAAAAAAAAAAAGAAAATTTTAATTAATAAAAAAAACTTGCTCCAGTCCGTGCTATTCCTCTATTAACTTTTTCATGTACTGATAATTTTACTTCTTCAGATCATTAATAAATAACATTGGGCCGCTAGCGGGAGGCTGTCTGGTTTTTATGATGTATTTAAAAATGTATATAAAAATAGTTAGTCTAAAAACTAATCTTTTATTTTTACATAAGTTACTTAGAGTTCTGGCTCAGAATAAAGTTGTTCGAGGTTTGATGACGTCTCCGTCCAGATAAGCGACTTAGGGTAAGGAAGGAGACGTGAACTTTCTGGTTCAATGCTTTTTCGCAATGCTTTGTGATAAGACTGTCTTTTTAGAGCACCTTTAATAAATAGTTGAAAAAAACAATTATAATTTAAACTATTGTAAACTCTTTTCTTTTTTTTTCTTTTTTTTTATTTACAAATATAAATCATTTTTATACGGTATGATCTAATTTCGAATGTTTTTTAACTTTCAATACTTCAAGGTATTTTTTTATTATTCTTATAAATTTTAAGTTAATGAAATGATTTCTAAAAGATTTTAAAACAAAGCAATTAACAACTACATTAGAAATTGTGGAGAGTTTTGTTATTAATGCTGTGAATGTGGCCAAAATCGGTGAAATTTGAATTTGTAATAATGTCAAAGCACCAATAACTGCGTATGTTGTCCAAAAGAAAAAATATGCTATTGCTGATAAATAACATATTTTCAAATATTCTCTTTCTAATCTACCTTTTTTGAAATTTTTACGTAACTTACAAGACTGTCGGCGATAAATTGTTTTTTTGCTAAAATACAACGTTAATGCAACGACTATTCCTGGTAAAATATTGCAACAAATATAAATAGCTAAAATATATGAAAAAGAATTTGATTTTGTTAATTTCCAATCTAACGAACATCGCTTCTTATCAAGATCTAAATCATATTTTGACCAACCAATTAAAGGAAGTGTTGCCCAAACAAACCCGTACGCATAACATACTAAAATTAGCGTTACTCTACACCAAATCATTTTATGATACTTTAAATAAAGCATCGGGTATTTTATAGCCACAGTTCTGATAAATGAAAGTACCGCCAAATGTGTGATATTAGTTATTGCAAATCCTAAAACAGCAAAACCGCTTGAAATGCATAACGGAGTTCTCTCCAACAAAGAGTCGTTGGATATTACTAATTGAGGTATTATTCCAACCGTCGATTCAAGTAAGTTTGTAATAGAAATGCTTACAATAAAGAAATGAGTCAGTTCCTTTTTCTTTACTTTTAATAAAGTAATGTAAAAAGCAGTGATGTTTAACGCTAATGACGTCACAAGAACTGCGGAAAGATATACCTTTGAAACTATTTTCTCAATATTCATTTTTTTGTTGTTGCAACCTAAAATAAGATATGATATTTTAAAAAAATTATTTTTTAGTATTCTTTTTAAAATTTTCATTAGTAAAAGAAATTTACAGCTCTTCTTCATGGGATGCATCTGAACTATTTGAAGAGCTGCATTTCTAAGATAAATTAATTTTTTAGCTAATATGGTTTTCCATCTGTTGGGATCTTTTTCTAATGTTTAAACAAAGATTGCCATTCATTAGTTTTTTTGTAATTACCGACATCATAATGAATTCCCGCATTTTAAAAGATATTTCAGGTTTTAGCATCTTAACTTTTTCAAATCGGTATAATTTAGGCAAGCTCTTCAATGCTCGGCAAAATTAAATAATGAAATAAATAGATAATAAATAAAACGAAAGATGATGGGTTAATCAATAGCAATAATTAGAAGTACAGCCGCATTCCAGCAGATGGAGAAATTTCCCAAAGTAAAAAAAAAAATCAGAGGAATGTATTTTATTCAAACGGGTCACGTTTAAAAAAGATTCTAATGCTAGAAAGCCGAAATATTAATTTTAGTATTGAAAAACTTGGAAAGAAAGAATAGGTTTTGTCGAAATGTTTTAATTATTTATTTTTAAAATATAAAATATGGTTCCTGATGTTAAATGTGTTGAATTTTTTCTAGAAGCATGTAAACAAATATGTTTTCTCAACATTTCAACTTTTAACAACTTGTAAAAGCGTCAAATGAAATAATAAGATTTTTATCAATAAAAGGATTGTTTAAAAACAACCTTAAAAGTAAACAAAATTGGCTAAGTATAGGTTATATATTTATAGTAATATTGAATAAATTTTGCAAACAATTCAGAACCAATACAAAATGTTCAGATTTTGATTTTGGAAGCCATTGTTATATAAAATTTCAACTGCAACATTTCAACTAGTAACATTAAGAACATATCCTCAGTAATGTTATTTATATAATAATATTGAAAGAAATGTACACCTAACTTGTCAAAATAAAATCATTTTTAATTGGCAAAACATTGCATTTACTAATTTATATTAAATCGCAATTTATTTAGAAAATATCCTAATAACTACCCAGCAAACACAAAGCGTTTAACGAATGTTGCAAACGTTAAAGAACGTTCTACGAACGTTCATAGAACTTGCTCGAACGTTTGCAACGTTCTTTGAATGTGCTGTGTTTGCTGGGTAATGCTTCAGTCACTTTATACACAGTTAAATATATTGCTTAAATAAGCTAAATATTAGGTAACTAAACATTGACTTTTAATATTTTTTATTTTATAAAGTTTAAAATGAAAGTTTTCTTTAAATATTAAACTGTTTGCTGAAAACAAAACCCTCAGTAAAACGTACTTTCATAGTGTTTTATTTCCAATGCCTCACACATTACAATTATGGTAATTATTCATAATTTTTTTTTTTTCATGTTTTGTTACCATTTTATGAAAAATTACCACGACAAGCTTTTAAATCTTCAGCTACCACCAAATATTTAGACTTATGGTGTTAACTTATGCTGGCATTTAGAAATAGAAAGTTTTAAACACAAAGTTGTTTCAACACTAAGTTATTAAACACAAAAATGTTTCAGCGCAAAGTTATTAAACGCAAAGTTATTTAAACACAGCTATTATTATTATTTTTTGTTCTTTTCTAAAACATTATAGTAAATCGTAGTACAATAAAATCGTTAACATTTAAATAATAAAATCATACGATAAGAACTAAGTAAAAGATAATATAGCTTTACAGGTATTTAATTTTATGAAAAGAACGTGGAGACTCGCAGAAGACCGTCAGGTCTTGTCATTGAGAACCGCTCGTAATTTACAATCTTAATAAATCATAATCAAATATAGTTGTATATCTCTATAAAAACTTGATAGCATAAATACATCAAATAATACATGAAACTATTAGGCGTTGAAAAAATATAAAAATGTATAATCCAGAGACAAAATAATTTCTTTAAGTTTATTCTTAAATGAAATAAAACTCCATTCAAAAGAAAAATCAAAATGTTTTAAAACTATTTTATTCCAAAGAAAAGCTCCGCGAAATGCAATGTTTGTTTTCCCAAAATTAATTTGATAAAAAGGTTACTAACTAAATTCTCATTTCTCAAATTGTATTTTTACTCAAATTTTTACTCAAGTTCTCAAATTTTATTTTCTCAAATTGTATTTTTATCTTTTAAGGTACCGTAACATTTTACTTTGGCTTTGGGTTACTTTGGCCAGCGGGGTTACTTTGTGCCATTTTTAAATGTAACCCCGCTGACCAAAGTAACTCCGCTGGCCAAAGTATTACGGTATATAAATCATGAAAAGAAACTGGGGATGAATTTATTTTACATTTGTACATAAAACAAAGAGTATTAAAAGCATTGAGCTGATATATATATATAAAATTTTCATTTTAGATAAAAGAGGCCTGGCATAGTAAATCTGTCTTTAAAATTGATAAGACGATCAACATGCTTCTGCTGACGATAAAAAGGCTTCAGTTTACTTTTATTGGCACTACACCAAGCAATATTTGCATAGTTTAAATGACAATGAATAAAAGAAAAATATAATTGTGTTAAACTTTGTTTATTTAAAGTTTTTCTAGCCTTATACATTACTCCTATACTTTTAGCAACTTTGTTGTACAAAAAATTAGTATGATATTTCCAGCTTAGATTTTCATCAACACCTAAAAAGTTAGTATTTATTTCTCTTTTTATTTGGATTTTGTCTATAAAAAAAAAGGGCAAGATGGGAGGCAGTAGTTTTTTTTTAGAAGTCCAATAAAAGAGTGACCATTTTGTTTTATCCACATTTAGTGACAATTTATTCATTTTGAACCATTCACAAATTTTCGCTAATTTAATGTTCAAAGTTTGAAATAATGTTAAAATACATTTATGCGATAAAAAAAGATTAGTGTCATCAGCAAACATGACAGTCATTAAATTTGACGCTTTAGGGAGATCATTGATGTAGATTAAAATAGAAGTGGTCCGAGTATAGAGCCCTGGGAAACTTCACAGGTTATATTTAATAAATTAGTTGTACCAGTTTCATTACTATCAACAAACCGTTTACGGTTTTTGATATAACATTAAAACATTCCCTCTAATTCCATAACTTTCTATTTTTTTAAGAAGAATTCGATGATCAATATTGTCAAACGCTTTTGATAAACCATGAAAATTCCCAACATTTATTGAGACTTTTCAAAAGGTTCAGCTATACTGAAAATAATTTGGAGTATTGCGTGTTCTGTCGAGTTATTTTTTTTTAACCCATATTGATTGATATATACAGGGCCGCCGAGAGGGGGGCAAAAGGGGCATGCGTGCTCCGGGCGCCAAGATAATAGAGGCGTCAAAAATGATAAAAAATTTTGTCTATACAATATTTAACTTTTAATTACAGTGTTTTGTGATTTAATATGATGTTTTTGTAGCATGATCTCCAGGGCAGTGGAGTCTGAGTCGGAGTTGCGGAGTTGCAACATTTTTAGCGGAGTAGGAGTCGCTAAACAAAATCGCGGCTCCGACTCCAATAGTAAAACTTCTCGGTATTGCACGTACATGTACAAAACATTTAATTAACCTTATGTAATACTAAACCTCAAAGAACGTTTCATAAATTTGTCAAAAAAGAAATTTTTAACTTATCGCGTAATATTTTTTTAAGAATTGAAAGAATTTTTCAAAAATTTTGCTTTCGAGTTAGAGTCGGAGTTAGAGTGGGAGTCGGAGTTATACTCAAAAAATTTCAACAACTGGTGTTGGAGTCGTTACTTTTTTTTACGACTCCATACCCCTGATGATTTCATTAAATAAATTAAAAGTTTAATTAATTTACAATGGCGGCTTTCATGTTTACGGATTATTATGTTTAGTACAATGAGTTTTTTTTTAGAGAGAACTATTTTTGTATATATGCATAATATGATAGTGATATTTTCGCATATTTATTTATTTATTTGAAAACAACAGAAGGACCCGAAGGCGACTTAAACTGAGTATACATTAACAATTTTTTTACTGAAATGTTAAATTGTATCAAGTGCTGGACAAGTTAGAACAAAATTGTATTAACTTGAACAAAGCAGTACAGCAAGACGGTTCTTAAACATCGAGATAGATGATGCAGACACGACATTCTCCGATAAGCTAATCCATACATTAACAATTCGATTAGAAAAGAAACACTTAGTGCTGTTTAAACTACAATGATGTTTGTACAGTTTAAAGTTATAACCACAATTATTCAAGTAAGAATTGAGAATAAGAATGTTGGATAGGTCAGTATCCAGTTTACCATTAAGAATTTTGTAGCATAAAACTAAATCTTGACTTATCGATATTCTAACGTGTTAAGCTTTAGTATGGCTAGACGCTTATCATAGAAAACTGACCACAGACCAGCAATTCTTTTAGTTAAGAAACGCTGCACTTTCTCAATTTTATTAATCAGACATATAGTGTAAAATGACCATACTGAAGAGCAATATTCAAGCTTAGGTCGTACATAAGTGCAGTAAGGCTTTAACATATAATCTCACGAAAGTAATAAAGTGCATATTTCAATGTCACTTTATGCAACTGCATCTCGAATGGCAAATCTGCTTATTTAAAGGTGAAAAGCGAAAAGAAAAAAGAAAAGAAAAAAGAGTAAGCTAAAAAGTTATTTTAAAGATATAAAAATTAAAAAAAAGTAATAGTAAAACAAGGTTAAAAGTCTTTGATAAATTTTTATAAATCCTTTCAGACTGTTGTGCTTTTGACCTTTTTATATAAAGTTCTTCAAGTAGTAAATTAAGCCGTTGATTCCAGGCGACTTCACTAACAATAGATGACAAAGTTATTCTTATTCAACAGCTAATAAGCGATCTTGGCCGCATCCGCTCATCATGGAATAATATTTTGGCTGAAGCGGAAGTTATTGCAGGTCTTCTAGGCTTTGAAACGGATTTTTTGGCAAAACGAAAAAAGAGATTGAAACGGTATCACAATAAACTTGAAAATGCAGCTTTCTGCTATCAGAGCCCCGAGCATCAATTTGAGGAAAACATTTTTAACGTCGCTCTTAATCATTTTATTTATCAAATTCAGTCAAAATTTTAAATAATAAAGAGTGTTTCTTTAAGGTTCTCATTCATCTGGCTGAAAGACGAGGAACCAGATTCTCAAATGATCAAAGCTCGTGAATTACCACAGTTCTACGCTAATGATGCCAAAGAAGGCAACTTCATACAAGAAATTTTGCATCTTAATTGTTTGAATGAGTCTTCGTTTTCCATATGTATGCATCTAATTCGAATTTTTAATACAATGCTAGTATCTGTTGCAGAGGGTGAACGATCTTTTAGTAAACTAAAATTGATAAAGAATTATTGTAGAGCCACTTTGGGACAAGAACGTCTTTCGGATCTCATGATGTTTTCAGTGAAAAATGAATTGGCTAAGACTTTTTCATATGATGATACATTAATAAAATTTGCCGGTAAAAAAGCAAAAAAAGAGTGTTTTATATAGGCCATTTTTTGTTATTTCAATTCCTAAAGAATATCTAGTAATGCATAATTTATGTTGTATTTGCTTTGCTAAGTTGTATTTTTTATAGACGCATTTTTTGAAAATTTTGCCGTAAAATGTTTTTAACAGAAATAAACCACAATTAGGAAAATTCTTTTTAAAACCCTGTACAGTCATATACCGTAAAGAACCCCTAATTCTGGATGTAACCTAATTCTGGATAGTTTTAGTAAAAAGTTTCATAACTCCCTTAATTTAATGAATTTATGAATAATTTTTTTAAATTAATAAACGTCTTTACCAGACAAATCGAAAAATATTTAAAAAAAATTATACAAAATAATGCAATCATGAAAGATTTCAATTTGAAATCTCTCATAACTAAAAAAACAAAAAAAAGAAAAAAAAAATTTGACTTACAACAAAAAAATTCAAAAAGTAAAAACACTATTTTGTGCAGAATTTTATGCTAATTATTTTAGTCAAAAAAAAAAATTAAATTACCTTTTGAAATAATTGGAAAAAAAGAAAAACAAATTTGCTACCAGCCAAAAAAAAAAGACACCTAATTCCGGATAGAGGTAATTATTATTTTATGTACTTAAAAAAAATAATAAACAAACTAGCCAGCAGCAATAAACAAATACACTTTTGAGTCCCGGATACAGTTAATTACAATTGGCTATTTTATTTTTTATCACTTTCATGCACATAATATAATATATTCATTTATGTTCATTAAAGTAATAAAAAATAAAATAGCCACAAGGGAAAAAAATAATTGACACTAATCCAGGTACAGCTATTTTTTTTTAGCATCCATAAAGTAAACGCATTTGTGTTAATTGTATTACTGTATTAAAGAATATGGATAATTTTAAACAAAAAGAAGAGCGAGATAGTCGAATCCAGCTAGCTATTCAAGCTATTACTGAAAAAAGAAATGTCTTACGTACAAGCTGCTAAGTGTTATAATGTGGCAAAATCTACACTTTTTGACAGAACAAAAGGATCATTTAGTAATCGAGGAGCGCCAAGAAAGATGAGCCACATCACTAAAACTATTATTGTTGATTTATTAAAATTTATGAGTGATATAGGCTTTGGCTTGAATAGAAAAGACGTGTTTATTGTTGTTGAAAACTATTTAAAAGAAGCAAACCAACGTAGTCTATTCAAAGACGGCAAACCGACTAGATAATGGTAATCCGGTTTCATGAATAATTATCGTAAAGAAATTTGCCCAAGAAAAGTAAGCGGTATGCAAACTATTAGGGCTGTGACCACACAACCAGCTATAACTGACAATTGGTTTGAGCAATTAGCAGTAGCATATAATGAACATAATTTAGGCGATAAACCGTTTCAAATATTTAACTGTGATGAGTCTGGTTTGCAATTTGATCAAGGCAAAGTCAAAATTATTTCTAGAAAAGGAACAAAAAACCCTAAAAAGCTAGCACCATCAAATGAAAAGCAAATGACGACAATCTTGACTTGTTGTGACGCATTCGGTAATTATTTACCTCATCAAATAATTTATAAAGGCAAACATGTTATGAAAGACTGGTGCAAAGGCGGTGCCCAGAATGTTTGTTATAACAGTATAATTCAGGCTGGATGGAATCCGAACATTTTTTGTCGTGGTTTGAAGCAGTTTTGCCTCATGCAAACAAACTTTCAGGATTTAAAGTTCTAATACTTGATGGCCATGCTTCAAATATGAGCTTAGAGTTGAAAAAAAAAGCTTTAGAAAATTATATTTTACTTTGGCGTTTGCCGGCTCATACCAGCCATTTTTTACAGCCACTAGATGTTAGCGTTTTTAAAACAGTAAAAGGCGCATGGAAGAGAATTGTTGAAAGTTATTTGACTAAAAATCACTTTCAAAGCCTGACTAATCGACATTTTTCGGCCATATTTAAGGATCTCATCCAAAATGGTGGGTTTAAACCTGAAAATGCTCGGAGTGGTTTCAAAAATACTGGTATATTTCCACTCGATCGTTCGCAAATTTCTTTTAAAAAAACTTCCATTGGTGCTGTGTTTCAAGCTGTCGAAAACAACAGTATTAAAAATTTATTTGATTCTTCAACAGTATCTAGTCCATTAGTTATGGAAATGCTACCAATACACCTAACACACCGTCAAGAATGTCAAATCGTGAATTTTTGCTTAAAAGCTTTGCTACTTTGAATAATGCTATTCGACAAGTGGGCAAAGATAAAAACAAATCAGTGTTTAATATGCTTTGAGATCAATTGACACCTACTCTAAATAAAAGAGTTCAAAAAAGTGAGAGAATAAAGCGACCAGCTAATTATAATATGACTTTGGCGGATGCCATAGCTTACAATGAAGCTGAACAAACATCAAAAAAACAAAAATTAGATGAACAAGCTGCAAAAAAATTTACTAGAGAACAAAAAAAGATTTCCACTGCTACTCAAAAAGCGAAAAATGCACAGAAAAGAGAAGTAAAAAAAAGTTGAGACAAAGTCAGTCGTCTAAAATACCAGGTAAAAAAGCTATCAAGACAAAGAATCAATTAGAAGACCCTCATTTTCCTCAAGCTTCAAATAACATTTTAGTATCTGATGATCTTCTATGTTATTGTTGCGACATTAATTGGACAAATAACTTAGATAACCAATGGCTTGCGTGTGAGCAGTGTTTAAATTGGTCTTGCATTGAATGTGTCTGATTATCGTCCAACCATGGAATTTATTTGTAACGAATGTGTATAAAATAATATATATTCTTTTTTTATTAAACAATTTCATTTTTTCAATGGATTAAAATAATTATTTTAATGTTAGTATTATTTGTGTATGTGTTTTTCTGTATTTTATACGCATCTGGAATTAGGGACATAAACACCTAATTCCGGATAAAAACAATATTTTTTAAAAATAAAATAAAAGATAGATTTATATTGCAAAAATAATATCTTTTATATTGTTTGATTTGTCTTGTTGTGAAGTTTATTTATTTAAAAAAATTATTTCAAAATTCTTTATATTGAGCTATACGGTATAGGCATAAATGTATTCGATAATTTTTTTTAAAATCATGTATGCTTGAAGGGGCGCCTACTCAACGCTATGCCCCGGGCGCCACAAAAGCTCTCGGCGGCCCTGGATATATAGAATATTATTTAAGGAAAGATGATTATAAATAATTTTATATAAAATTCTTTCTAAAACATTAGAAAAAATAGAAAAAACATAAATTGGGCGATAATTTGTAATATTTGCTTGATCGCCTATTTTAAAAATTGAAGTGACTTTAGCTATTTTTAAATGATCTGGAAATATTCCCTGTTTTATTGAACAATAAAAAACTTTAAATGGTACATCTTTTAAGGGTTCATACGAGTCGATGTCAAAATTACTATTAATTCCATCATGACCAATGGATTTATTTATTTTAAAAGATTTTTCGAATTCCTCAAAGGAAATTTCATAAGTTGTTAAGGTTAAGGATATTGGAAAATCGTAAGCATCTATTTTGTTAATCACAAAAGGAATATTTTTAGCTAAATTTTGGCCAACTGATACAAAATATTTGTTTAATTCATCACATATCAAAGTTGGATCAAGGGAAAAATCATCGTTAATTTTTAAAGTTTTGGGTAGAGTGCACGTTTTTGTAATCCGCGTGCCAGTAAGTACTCATAGGATCTCCCAGGTGCGTTTTGAGTTATTCTTGTTTATCTCAAATAAATTAGAGTAGTCTAATTTTTTTTAATTTTTCCTTTTTCTTTCAAAAATTTAGGCATAATTTTTGTAAAAAATTTTAGTTTCCTCTGTTTTGGTTTTCAATTATCTGATATATAATTTTTGCTTAGTTTTAGAGGATTTTCTGAGATCTTTTGTGATCCATGGAGAAATTATAGCTCTGGGTTTATTATTTACAGTAGATTTTGGAAATTAATGTCATATGATTCATAAAAAGTTTTGAAAAATGATTCATAAACTAGATTAGCATCAAAAGAGGCTTCTACTTGTTTCCAATGAAGCAGAAATAATTGTTTTTTGAATGATTTTAAATTCGCTGTAGTAAAAAAACGTTTTTTAAACGTTACTTTCTGTTGAGATATTTTTACTGCAGCAATATTAAATGAGAAAAAACAGAAAAGTGGTCAGAGATATCACTTTTAATTATACCTTTTTTGAGCGATTTGTTAAAAATATCTGTTGCTATTATATTAAAACATGAATGGTTTTACTTAAAACATCATTTAAAAATATATTGAAGTTTTCAATTTGACTAGAGGGTGGTCGATAGCAGCAACTTACAACTAAATTTCTTTTTAATTTAAGATTTTAATTTCAAATGTTAAAACCTCTTTATTGCCGTCATAATTACTCATATCAGGCCTGGTAATATACCTCAATAAATTACTAAACCACCGCCTCGCTTTTTATTTTTACTATTATTATTATTTCATTTATTTAAGACCTAATGTCGTTTACAAGCTAAAAAGAAAATTAAGAAAGTTATTTCTCGCGATTTTCACTTAAGAAATTTTTCTTCCAGAATTTGTTTAAAAATTCATCTTTGTTCTGTCGCATTCCAGCACTCTATTGCATCCCAGTAAGCACAAAGACGTTTAAAAGACGTTTTAAAGATGTCTTTAAGGAGGTCTAAAAGGCGCACTTGTAGACGTCTAGATCATAAGGCTAAAAGACGTCTAAATGAAGACGTCTTTATAAAAACGCGTTTTAGACGTATTTTAGGCGTTTTTTTTCAAGATGAATTCAAGTACATGACGTAACATTTTCGCGTAGTATGTGGTATATATTCATTGTATTTATAAAATCATATATTGTTATAATTTCGTATATACAAGATATACATAAGAACCAGCAATCAAAATAATATTGCTGTAATCACCACAAACGGTTGATGCATCAAGGATGAAAATAATATATAACAATAACAAATATATATCAAAACAGTATTTAAAGCATTTATAACTTACCTTTAGTTTTAATAAAATTTAGCGTACGTCTAGCTGGCTAATTTTTGACCGCATACTTGAATTATTATATGGCTTGTGGGTGTATAAAAACTAAAAATACTGATATTTAACTTATATATTATTCTTGCCATTTTCACTTATAATCATGATCAGTCAACTATCTATTAAAAAAGCAAAATAATTATTAATAAAAAAAAGATATACTAATATTATAGCAATTATTTTAGTGATTCCTGTGACAACAATTTTAGCAATTGTGTAAAAAAGTAGTTTAATTTAAAGTAATTTACACTTAAAACTTAAACAATTTATTGAAAATAATAAAAACTATGTTTTTACTTTGAATATACGACATCTACTTAACGCGTAATGACAAAGCCGTCAAAAAGAAGTCATAATGACATATTTATAAACAGGTCTCAGAAAAGACGTCTTTTTGCCTTGATCTAGACGTCTTTTAATGCGTCTTTTAAACGTCTTTTTAAACTTTAAAAAGACGCATTTTAAACGTCATTTTAAAAACGCCTTTATAAAAGACGTCTAGAAGATGTCTTCAAAACGTCTATAAAAGTGCGTCTTTACCTAGACTAGTTTTAGACGTCTATAAGTGTCTAAAATGCGTCTTGTGCTTACTGGGTAAGTTTTAAAGTTATTAGAATTAAGAATTGGAATTTCCAATGAATAATAATATGGGCAGCTGCTTCGAACAGCAATTGCTTGCATAAAGTAATCCGGATCAGATTCATGGTTTAGTAAAAAGTCATCAGTTTGAAAAAAATTAAATGAGTTTAAATCAAAAATGTTGCCGTTATTTGAATCCATTTTAATTTGTTTTTACAATTACACCTAATTTAACAAAAGAAATTATTTTAGAAATCACGCGTTATTAGTTTGTTACAAATAACTTTAGCATACTTACCTTTTTGTCTTAGTTCTTTAGCGTCTGTAAACAATTTTTTCTGTGGCATGCTTGTTCTTTCGCAAAAATCTTTGTTTGTAAAAATGTGTCGATTGATATATTTATCAAGAATAGCCAATTTGTCTTTAAAATTTAAAAACTTCACAATAGCGGCTCGGTTTTTCGTTTCTTTCTTTCGTCAATTTTTGCCACTCAATGCGCCCGTTCAATAACAAAACTACCACCTAATTTGAGTTTTGATTTTATAATGTTTAACTTTTTTTTCGCAATCTTCCCAACTTTCGTTTTCAGATTCTTTAATTCCGTTTATTTTCAAGTTATTACGCCTACTTCTATCTTCGAGCTGTGTCAATTTTTCATTTCATGGTTTCTGTTACAATATTTTCTAAGTTGCAAGGAATTTTGTGTTCAAGCTTTAATTCGGCAAGTTCAACTAAATCTTTATCATATTTATCGCTTATAAAACCTTCAGTTAATTTTTAATTTCAAGTTTAAGAGTCGTGTTTCATCATTTATTGAATTCATTTTGTTCTCTAATTTTTCTATTTTTTCGTTAAAAATTTTAATAATTGTACTGTCGTGCATTTCTAAAATTTCTTTCAATTGAGCCATTGTAAATCAAACTAGTATTTCAATAGGTCTTAATATGACGTAGTTATTGGTACACAAGTAATTCCCATAGGACATTATTAAAGAATAGGATCATTTCCTATGAATATTGTTAGCGATTGATATAATTCCCTCTGGACAATATTATTCGTTGGTATAATTCCTCATGGATTGGTTCACAAATAACTCCATTTAGAAACTTTTTTGAAGGAAGAAATTTCTAAAAGGAATTATTTGTGCACGAAGGAATTCTAATTTGTGCACGAAGAAATTCTTGTGTAAACGGTTATAAAAGCCTTAACGGTAAACTTAAGTAAAATATGATACGAGAAGGAATAACAACTTCATAGATTTTTAATGCAAGTGTAAAATTTAGTATAAACTTAGTTAAAAAACTGATTATTTCGAAATTCATATAAAAATGGGTAGAACAGCTAAAAAAAAATTATAGGACAGAAGAAAATGCGGAAAAATACAGAAAGGTTGAGATATATTTACCTATTGAAGTACCCACTGAGGGATTTACCTCAGAGACAGCTTCCATCTAATGGTGATATCCTAAGATACTATCAATTAAATAACATTTTTTTAGTAGTGAGAATTTTTTTCCGATTTAAAGTAACTTAAGTAATAGCATATTATTTCCTTCAAAATATTTACGTTTAACTCATTCCATGGTTG